CCCCCCCACAACAGTTGGTTCAGACAGCACGCTGCGCAGCTTAGGATGTGTCTCCGTGTTACATGTAGGGCAGATGTAAACAAGCTACGTGATGCTGCTCGGATCAGTCAGCCTGTTTTCTTTGAGTGCTGTAGCAAAACCACGTCCACAAGCAGCTCTGCATCCTGATGAACTGCTGGTTAAACTGTCACTAATCGTGTGTGATAAACTTCCGTTAACCGTCTTACACATGTGTGCAATGGATAAAAATGGCTGTGTTTAAATGTAGAGTGACACTGAGATCCAAACTTGTTGTTTGTCTTTCCGGACACAGAAAAAGAGGTGTTGAATTTATGTATACAGAAATGAAAATGGTGTGAGGTTTCCTTGTCACATTTCAGAGGTGTTTGAAGGCTAAAAATAGATAATCTTCAGTTTATTTGTCTTTATAAAGATGGGAGAACATTTTAAACAAAGACTAACACAGTACACTTCCACATCATCTCCCAGGAGGTAAAATTGATGTTTCCTGGAGCGCAGCGCATGAACAGAGGAAACCACGAGATCGATGGCCTGGTGCAAGCGTGCAAAGCCAACAACGTTACAGACCTCGTCATCATCCATGAAACAAGAGGACAGCCAGGTAGGCTGGCCTCCAGACTGTCTCTTCTTTATTGTTTGTGGTGCTTGTCTTCAACAGATCAGGCGATGATGATGTTAAACTAAGAGCAACCGTTGAAGTTTCAGATGCTTCAACAATTTCAAGTAAAAGAAAGTTTGGACAGTTTACATAATGGACAAATAATATTTTGTTAGTTTACATTCCTGCAACCCATTACCACAGCAACAGGGTGGAACAGGATCAGTTTTGTTGTGTTAAACTGTACACCAGTGGACTGACTGCAATGCATGTCTTTTCTGCTACATTTTCTGTGCATCATTTGTGCTCACTATTTGCTTTTCAGCATCAAATTTCATAAAGCTACTAGTTCCAAAGATATGACCACATAAACTATTATTAATAATAATAAATTATTTGTCTCCACTTCGTGTTCGGATGTGAGTTTAAATGATATCCCGGTATTTAAACACATATTTACCGTACACAGAAAGATGTCGTACAGAAATAATTTTAACTTTTCTTAAAATATGTACCAGACTTGACTGCTTTATGTGACTTCTTCTCGGCAGAGCCCATGTCATGACCCAGGGGAGGGGGATCAGCCATTTCTAACAAGGAAAAAAAAAAGTACTGGTAGTTGACCAAAAGTCACTCTTCGCTATGTTCTTCGTCCTCCTGAGAACTAGAGTCCTCTTGGAGGCTCAGAAAAACGTGTTCACACGCCGCCTCCATGTCACTCGTCACTTTCCCTCGTGCTGTCCACTTCATTCCCCAGAAGACTTCTGATCACATGACAGAGTGGGTGGAGTTATGGTAGGAAGTTGAAGCCCTGAGCGAGAGGCTTTGTACACGTGGATACCTGAGGGCATTGTGGTTACCCCATCTGTTGCGGAAGCATGATTCGTAGTGTCAGCTCATTTGCGCATGTGACAAAAACAATACTTCCGAGTTGCACGGGTGATGTAGCGCTGCTTCACTTCACCACGAAGCGGCGCTGTTTCACCATGGAAATAATTATAATATTGGTTTATAATCGTGCTTTATTTCAGTGGTAATGGAGTTGTGTAAATAAAAACAAACACTTTATGCTGGCTTTGATTAAGTAATCATTTGATTGATTCGATTAAATATTAATAATTTAGCGGCCGATATACTGTATATAAAAATTTTTATTTTTTTTTTTGCCAGCCATCTAGTGGTAGTTTTTATTTACACAACTCTTCATTACCACTGAAATAAAGCATGCACTTAAATTAGTGGCAATTTCATAATGAGTATAAACCAATATTATAATTATTTCCATGCTTCACTTCACCGCTTCATGGTGAAGTGAAGCAGTGCTACATCACCCGTGCGACCCGGAAGTATTGTTTGACAGTAGGATCGTGCTTCCGCAACAAATTGGTTAACCACAGGCATTCACTCTGTATAACAAAAGCCCGCCCCCAAGAGGGGTCGGTGCAGGGCAGTTCTGTGAACAGCAGCCCAGCTCTGTCAAAGGAAAATGTTAGTCAGCGGCAGGAAGCTGCCAGGAGATGGCAGGAAGTCTTTCAAAATAAAATGTAAAAATTCGGGACAAATTCAGGTCGCCGATTGGTCATTTGCTGACATGCCTACTGGATTGATTGACAGGTCGAGAAAAGAAAAAAAAGAGCGCTGGCAGCGCTCAGGGTGTACGCTGGAGTACGAAGTCTGAACCCTCTACGTACAGTACACGTGTATGTACGCGTGAACAGACGTAAGCGGGAGTATACTGGGGGCTTCAGAAGGTGCTGCTTAGCTGACTGTTGCAGCTCCTCAGACTGAAGAAGTCTTTTGGATAAAAGATAAAATATTTCACTTCTGTTTAGTTCATTTATAAAGTGCCAAGTCACAACAGAAGTCGTCTCAGGGCACTGAACATAAACATTCATATATAAATATCCTGATGCATGCTCAATAATCCAGGTTGAAAAATCCAAAAAAGTTCAATCTAGTCCTCTGGACATTCAAAAAAAAAAAAAAAAAAAAAGCAAAAAAATG